CCCCAAAACCCCAAAACCCCAAAACCCCACTAAAGATCCAGAGTCTGTAAGATTATATTAATTAACTCTCCTAAGGAAAATGAACGATATACTGAAGAAGATCCAGAATGTTGAAAACCAACATCGGATAAGACAGAGAGCCAGAAATACAGCACTTGATAACTCAAAGGCTAAATGTAGGTCATCTTCATTGTCTTTTCACTGGTGAATCTTCTAATTTGAGCTGTGTAGGTTTAATCATCGATCGAAGAATGATACAAAACTCTCTGAGTCAGAACCGCAGACTTTCTATCTCTGATAGACTTCAAATGATGACGGTATTTGATAAAATGAACAAAAAAGAAGGGAATAAGGTTGTTAAAGCTTTTCAAACTATCGGAGATAGTGTAGGGAGGTCCATTAAGTTCCTCAACCAAAAAACCAACAAAGATAAGCCAAGTGTACGTTCCTGGCCTGATATATAGATAATCAAGATTAATACAAAACAAAAATCAAAACCTTCTCTTCATGTTGATACTGGTGTATCCGGTTTTGACAAGATTACTGTCTTAAAGCCTAAGAAATCTGCAGGGCTTCTGCTACCAAAGCTGCAGAACCAGAGGACCCAAGAAGAAAACCTTTCTTGTTCTAGTAAAGTAAGCATTTTCAAGAATTTTACCGAACAGAGGTAACAGTTGATATAGAATTCTTTTCAGATTCAGACCAACCTGTCTAGGTGTAGGAGTGATCTCGAGGAAGCTAAAAGTGCTACATTAGGCGCAGGAATAAGCTATTCAAAGCCATCAGTGTTTTCGAAATATAAATCTAATGGAATTACTACCTTAAAATCAGTAGCATCGGCTACTACAGAGGTGCAGTATCCTTTGACTGCGACTGAGGAAGTCCAACAAGCTCTGCCAATACGACTGAAGAAGAAAATGGTGACCTCCAAGATCAATGGATTTAGTAAGAAATCATGGCTGAGGGCAGACAGCCTCTTTCAAGAGGCCATTCAAAACAAGTGAGTATTTCAATAAGCTATTTTAAGAACCGATTTTCAAATATATTCTTAACTAAATCTGCTTCTAGATCAATAAAGCCGACCCTCAATGACAAAGTGACAAGGAAGCTTAAGAAGTGCCTCATTAGTAAGTTTCATCCATTAAATCTCATGTATTACATGATAGCTAAGACAGCAGGTGGCTCATGAAGCGCTTCAAACTTTTAATTTATCTTTCGAAATTCTGGAAATACTTATTATATAATAGAGAGATCGAGCAACTCAATAAATGATCATTCCAAATTAGGTAAATTACCGAAATGTGTGAGTACGAAGAAGAGATCAAGAGGAGGATTCTTGTCAAATATACCTTCTTTGGCTAGTCTTGATGTAGATCCCGCAGAACCTCGTTCACCATTCCCAATTTCAGCTAATAAATTTTAGCTGATTCCTTACTAATACTTTTCAATATTTTTGTCCAAAAAGGGGTTTTGGGGTTTTGGGGTTTTGGGG